AAGAGTCCCTTTTCAGACACAGTATGTTTTTGTGACCATGTTACCCGCTTCCCAAAGTAAAGACCAGTCCAAAAGGTACAGGGCACCTGAGGATGGTTAATGACGTGCTATTACTAGACATCGCGGACACCTTTTTGCTAGCACACAGAATAAAGTAAAAACCTAAAATATTCTTGTCCGACAGTAAGAACGGAATGAGAGGGACGAGGGGACAGGAGTGGAAGAGGACCTCACGTCAGAGATTAAACTTCGGAACCGACTATATATGAGAATCTCCTGCCAATTTCTGCTCAGACCACAAGGCACCTCAGCTGACCAGCGGGTGGTGAGGACTGGGGAGCCCTGGGGGGGTGCCTCAAGGCAAATACAGAAAAGACGGGGCACCAAGGGGTCCTTCCAGTGCCCACCCCTTGTTCTGAGACACTTTTAACTGAAGAAAGTGGCGCCATATTACAGGCTCCTCAGTCAGTTTCCCATGTCCCAGCCGGCAGCTCACTTTGTCGGCAACCACGCTCTCTGCACTGAGGAGGAAAAACCTGAATTATTGATGATGCAGAGCAATAGTTAATGACATGGAAAGATGCTCATGATCAGTGATACCTGGTAAACAAGAAGAGGTTACAAACAGTATATGCGTGTGACCGTATTTTTGGTTTTAATTGTGTGTGTATAGAAATGAGTGCGAACATACACTTCAAAATGTTTAGCAGTTCTCTCAGTCGTGGATTTTATAGATATTTAACTTCTTGGCATGTTTTGGTGAACAGTTTCCTTTTCATAAGAACAAAAAGCAGAGCTTTAAAAATGAAAAAAAAAGTTGCCTTTTATCTTTCAAAGATAATTTGATCTTTTTAAGTTCTATTCCACCAGAAAAACCACCTCCCTGAGTTACCCACTTCATAATGAACTGGAGCTTCTGATTTCTTCATCTGGGTCAGCATTTTATTCACATTAACCTCCAGACTCAGCCATTGAAAAACGCATGCTTCCCACTCTGGCCAAACCCACGCGCACGTGGGTGAGGACAATATCAGGATGGAAGCTCTCGGCTCGTCTGCCTTCCTCCTGGGCAAGGGCTTCAGAGACCAGCACACCAGCTCCACACCAGGCTGTGGGGGGCTGGCCCGCACCGTCCAGGCTGGCCCGCCAGCCGCCTGCTTCTCAGGGTGTTTAAGGGCAACTGCCCTGACGTGAATTTACTGCACCCAAAGCCCATCAGAACCCCGGGGACAGGAAATCTCCGGAAATGCAAAGCACAGAGCCAGCTGCCAACCGCAGGCCCAGGACGCGCAGTGTGTGTGGTAGGAGCCTCTGTGGAGACAGCCGGATGCCTCGCTCGCCATTCATCATCGGGGCTCCAGGCCCTCTCCTCCCACAGAGAGAGGAGCCAGGATGCCACGCCACTGGCTTCAGAGACCACCGCGTGCACTTGGACGTTCCTCGGACCCCTGGGGAGCAGGGCTGTATTTACCGCCACCGAAAAGCCAGGCGAGGAAGCCTGAGAGAAGAGGGGACTCATTTGTTCTAGAAAGACTGAAGCCCTGCAGTTTGCCAGGGCTGCCCGCCCCCGCCCCTGACAGCCCCCCCGGCTTTCCAGGGCACAGCCTCCCGTGCCCGACCCGAGATGATGCCAGACCTCTCAGAGAATCGACTGTTTGAGCAACAAGGACATCCCCCCATTCTGTACCTTTTAAATAAACATCATCTCACTAACAAGTAAAAGAAATACCACGTTGGGGTTGACCAGCTTGAGACAAACCAGCTCTGCAATCCTGCACCTGAAATCTATCGGGAAAATGCATGGGAAATGCTTGGGTGCCTCTGTTCTGGTCGTGGGAGGAACGGGCTCCCCATACAGGACGATCCCTTTAGACCAAGCTTACAGGCCCTTTCACACCGGCAACACCCCACATTGCATAAAGGCGATGACACTGTGATCGGCGCAGAAATCACTGCTGGTAAAGAGGCTCTTCCTTTTATTTTTTTTCCAAATGTACTTTTCCTGTGGAGCACATTCTGAATCTTAGAGAAGATTCAGAATAAAGGGTGAGAAAGATCAAAGACGACCTACTACCCCTGAGGATGGGTATACACATGACCCACTCATCACAAGTACCCTGAGCAGAGCATTGCTATTCCTACTCTTCATGGGGGGGGGGTTGGGGGGAGACCCCTAGACCCTTGCTCAGGATCACAGAGCCAGTGCATCGGTGGGCTTAGGTCAGCAGCCATGCCTGTGCGCTGGGTTCTGTACGTAGACTAGTGTGCAGTACGACAGCCACGCAGCTCTTTCCTCCTCGAGGACCTGAAAAGTTGGAGCTTCTTGTAGACCAAGTAGGAACCCAGACTGCCTTCCTGCTGTGTCTCAGATCATCGTTCTTTATGCAATTTTATAATCTGGGTGAAACTAAGAATCTAGAACCAGCCTGCATTCATAACAAAGAAAGGAAGAAACACCGTTGATTGCCCAACTGTGTGTCGGCAACAGCACTGCCCATGAGTCAGCACAGACTTCCTGGAGCTCCCGGGGGAAGTGACAAGGCGACTCCAGCCCGACCTCCGAGAGTCTTCCACCGTCTGCTGGCGTTTCTTCTTGCTCAACCAAACCTCATATGCCACCTCCACCTCCCCTCCCCCACACAATAAATTCTGTTTTGGCAATAAATAAAATATTGACATTAAAAAAAGAATTAACTTAGTCCTCAGATCCCTTTGAGGTAGGCACTGACATTAATCCCCTTTCAATTTTTTTAAGTTATTTTTTAATGTGTTTTTATTGATTTCAAAGAGGAAGGGAGAGGGAGGGAGAGAGAGATAAAAACATCAATGATGAGAGAGAATCATTGATCAGCTGCCTCCTGCACGCCCCCTACTGGGGCTGGAGCCCACAACCTGGGCATGTGCCCTTGACTGGAATTGAACCCTGGACCCTTTAGTCCGAAGGCCAATGCTCTATCCACTGAGCCAAACCCGATAGGGCTTAACCCCCTTTTACAGGTGAGGAAACTGAGGTCCAGGGAGCAAGAGATCTTCTAGACCCCAGAGTCAGGTGGTGGCAGAAGGGGGACTAGAACCAGGTCTTCTCACTCCCCACCCTGGGCTTCTCCCAACCTCTCCTGCCTGATACACGTGACAGGTGATGGCACAGAAACCGTGATGGCAGCCGCCAGCCATTGACCGGATGCTCATCGGGGCCAGGACCGGCAGCACATGCTTTAGAGAAGGATTTCATTCAATCCTCAGAATGACCAGCCTCCAGGGAAGATGAGGAAACAGGCTCAGGGGGATTGAGCAACTTCTCCAGGACTCCCTGGGGCACGGAGGCCCTGGGACAGAGCCCAGGCCCTGGAGCTACAGCCGCATGTCTGTCCCAGGCTGCCTCTCGGCTCACCAGGTGTGGTGGAAGCTGCAGCGATTCAAGGTGAACAAGCCATCCGTCTACTTCTTGTAACAGGTTGTCCCACCTGCTTTCCAGAAGCAAATCTTCGCAGAAACAGACCTCGCGAGAAAGGGACACAATTGCTCTGCCCTTTCCTGCCTCCTTGGTGCCCAGGCCTGAGCTTCTCCACAGGGTGAAAGGCCCTACTTGGTATCTGCATCCATCTATCTATCATCTATCTATCTATCTATCTATCTATCTATCTATCTATCTATCATCCCTCTATCTATCATCTATCTATCTATCTATCTATCTATCTATCTATCATCTATCTATCTATCTATCTATCTATCTATCATCTATCACTCTATCTATTGTGTGTGTATCTGGTTTTAGATACAAACATGAGTTTAAGCGGGAAAAGGACACAACTCAGGCACAAATAAAATAGAATAATCCTTTAAATAATGGAACTACAGGCTGCTGAGAGTGGAACGCCAGGTGTGCCAGGTGGTACTGGTATCCAGGTGTTTGGGTACACCAGGTGGTACCTGGGCGTCTCAGTGCAGCGCCTCTGCTCACAGGCTGAGGTGCACCAGGATGGCGGAGGAGGCTAGGGCAGCCCCGGGCTCCCACAATGCATCGCTCTCTGCATCTGTGTCTTCAGCATCCGTTTCTCAGGTGTGATGCCTGGAGCATGATTCTCAAAAACCAGCGTTTTGCAGTTGCCAAGAAGAAAGTCTTGTGAACAGGTTTCTTAAAGTCATTTGTGCTTAGAGGAAACTGAGGATGAACTCGTGGGAAGATCGCTCAGCCTCTCTAGAGTGCAGGCTTATTGGCAGTAAAATGAGAGGCAATCTGAGGTCCTTTTTACCTCAAAAACTCTACATTATCACCGCCGATCGGAGAAAGAAGGCCTAACACTGACTCCTCCATCTGCCCTCATTCACTGGCTCCCTCTGGTTCTTCTGCTCCAGTTACTGCCATTCAACTCCAAACGCTTTCTGGTTCATAAACAGTGCCGTACCTTTACGGCGGAAAGGTAAGACCCTTACACATATTAGTAGCAACAGTGAAGCCCCTTTTTCCATGCGAAGGAAATGTCATCTTGTTATGAATGAGAGTGCAACGCAGAGAGCATTCCCGCGGAATTAAGGCATGGACAACGGAAGCTACCGAGCCATACAGCACAGTCACATGATTTAATATTCTGCAGAAACCACCACGGTGATTCTGCGTGAAGGGATTCTAACTAGTCATTAATATAAACTTCACACCAGAGTTTCTGGAAGCATCTAAGTTAGAGCCACAATCGTAATGATGACCAACGTGGCTTTGATAAAGCTAACAGATGCTTTGGTCTTGTTGCATTTTACATTTTAAGCTATATGTTTATGTATGTTAACTATGACCAGGAAGATCTTTTCCCCCCTCATTTAGAAAGATAAATCAGCAAATGAAATAAGCTTATTCTAAAAGCTTGTCCACTCTCCCACACTTTTAACATAAAAGAGTCACTAATATATATATGTACACACACACACACACACACATATATGTACAGATACATAACTTCCTAGAGCAATGTGGGGACAGTAAAGAATTATTGTTGCCACTTTACCTGGGAAGCGCGGTGATTTTCCCCCACTTTTCCACACAGAACCTTCTGGGGCCATTGCTTCCTCGGAGAGAAGCGAAGCCTTCGTAGGGAATGCTGGACGTGCCCGTCACAAACTACCGACGAGAAAACAGGAGGAGGAGGTGAGGCCCAGCGACCAGCGGTCCAGGAAGGCCGGCATCACCCACAGGCACAGCTCCCGGAGAAGCAGCACACCGCCCTCCCCGCCGCTGGGGACGCTGGGGACAACGCTTATGCCGGGCACCGGCCATCCCCGAGCACCTGACACAGAACCGAGGAAGGACGGGGCCTTGTAAAGGGAAAGGTGTGGGGGCCTGAGAAGAGAAAGCCTCTGTACCGCTGACCAGCTCGGGAGCCTACACCAGGGGTGGTTCCCACTACACGTGAATAAAGTGGGTGCATCAATTAGCCTAAGTCTATTGAGCATCAGCCCCTCATCAGCTCGTGGTGGATTTTTAAAAAATGATGATGAAAGGAAAAAAAAAAGAATGTCTGGGCCTGCAAACATGAGGGGCAGGTCCTTGATGCAGAGCAGCTAAGACCCCGCCTACGGGTAAGGCTCCGTCTGAGCATCCAGAAGGCTTCCTCGTGTTCGATGTCCCTTTAGCTGCAACCCACCAGCAACTGCCCGGGTGACTATAAACACCACAAGAAAATGAGTTCGTTTTCCCAGCATCCTTCAACTGCATTGTTCTCTCTAATTTGTTGAAAGGTAGAAGGAGGCAAAGAAAGGGCTCTTTATCAAGGAACTGGGTCACTTCTTAAGGGACCGAGCGGAGAGCACCCGTGGCTCAGGGTGCTGGGCTGCAGAGGGCCCGGGACTCTCTCTGAAAGGGCCACGCTGCCCTGAAGGCAGAGGCCGTCCCTGGGTCCCTGCACGGGAGGTGGTACTTCCTCGCCTCCCTCATAAAAGGCTTGGACTTGGCTGGGGCCGTGGTGCCCAGTGATGGAGCCAAAGGACTGTGCCATCCAAAGAGTCTGGAAACCGTGCACCCCACATTGGTACATAAACCGGGGATGGATTTATTGTGTGTCCTTAGCAAGTGTTAAAAACACGCAATTCCAACAATAATTCTACTCATGCGTTAAAAAGATGAACCAATGGCATCTTACCTGTAACAACCGCAGGCGTTGTTCATTGTTGAATCTCTCCACCGCAGCCCAGAACCACCGAATAACAATGTGATTGTCGTGATACCCTAGCGAACCAATCACAAAAGCCTGTGTTACTTTGGCTTTTCTATCGTAAGCCACCACGACACACTGACAAAGGACCCCCAGACACATGTCATCGTCTTGGACTCTTTAAAGGTCATCGATAATTTAAGACTAAGGAGAACACCGTAAACATGATTGTATGAGCACTGAGTGACAGCGAGAGGCCGTGTTTCCTTGTAGTGTCACCAAATACAGCGAGTGGAGAGAAGAATAAAAAATGAGGGATGTTAACCCTATTGCTTCTGAAGAACATAATCGCTGTGACTAGAAATGCTTAACTCTTTGGGCCATTCATTTAAGAAATAATTTGTGAGGGTCACTATGCCAAGTGTTGTATGAAGCTTGGGGGTACAGTGGCCAAGAAATCAGACCCTCACAGGGCTTCTGGGAAAGGAGAGACACATTAATCAAATAATTATACTGCCTGGCCAGTGTGGCTCAGTGGTTGAGCGTGGACCCATGCACCACGCAGTCACCGGTTCGATTCCTGGTCAGGGCACATGCCTGGCTTGCGGGTTCAATCCCTGGTGGGAGGTGTGGCCAGGGATCGCGCAGGAGGCAGCCGATCGATGTTCATGTTTCTCTCTCATCGATGTTTCTCTCTCTCTCTTCCTTCCTCTCTCTCTTAAATCAATAAAAACTTATTTTAAAAAACAACAATTATACAAATTAGTACATAACTGCAAAATATTTTAAAACTACATATAACATTCATATTGTTTAATCAAATTACTTTTTAGTAATAGAAAAGGAGAAGGAATTGTACAACTTTAATTTCTTCAATGAATAAATCCCCAATAACCTTCAACCTAAATGTTACTTTTATTCCATCCTTAAGTAGAATTTAATAGAACGTTAAACGTGTCAGCCCATGGGTAGATTAAGGAAGTGGTTGTAGATGCCAGTCCTTTCAATAAAGAAAAATTACCCTCAGAGACACGGCTCAGAGATTAAGGTTCAGTTAGCAGTTCAAACCAGTTAACTGACACCATCCATCAGTGTGCATCAAGCCACGGGAATTCTGGGTTGGAGGAAGTATGGTCCCCGTGTTGCAGTATCTGGGATCTGGGATCCTTCCTTCCTGCTTCCTCTTCGAGCAGTGAGAGTAAGAGAGGATCCAAGCGAAGGGCCAATAAACCAGGCTGGGCGTGGGGACGCAGGGCCAGCTCTTCGGTGCTGAGCAAACAGTTTCCCCGTCTACAAAGCAGTGCACTGGCTCTTGATTTACAGCCTTGACGTTCTCTGACCCCATGCATCGGCCCTTTGCTGCCTCTCCTTTGCTGTGTGTGCCAAGCCGTGTGGAGGAGGAGGAGAAGTGCCTCATCGTACCCCCACGAACAGCTGCCTCACGGACATGTGGCGAGGGGCAGGGAGCCCCTCTTCTCAGTGCCACGGAGCTGGGCTAGCTGGCATGGCAGCTGGGTGCCCCACCCCTCAGCACGCTCCTCCCCAGGCGTTCATCTGATAAGCTCTACAACAGTCATAGGAATAGGTACTCGATGAGTCATACACTGTGAATCAAAGTTTATTCTGTATAAATACAAGAGTGGCTGACGGGGTGAATGGCACTGCTAGCAGAATCGCCTGGGGTGGGGGAAATGAGCTGGTACTGTTTATGGTAACGTGCAAGTTATGCAGACGTTGGAGAAACTGTGTTCTAGTTAGTGAGCGTATTTGGTTAACTGAGTTAGAGTAAGCAAGGCCATCTGTGGATTGTACTGTGGGCCGATGGACAAGACTCGCTATGGCAGCTGAACTGCAGAAAGAGCAGCAACGGAAACTGCAACTGAACGCCTCCTTGCAGAGAAAATGGGCCAGCAGACGGCCCCCCGGCAACAGCACGAGCCGGAAGAGCCACGCACAGGCAAAAGCAAAAGCCAAAGCCATTTAGCAAATGTCAAGTTAGGTTTTACTCCGAACTTTTAACATTGTTTTTTGAATTTCTGTTTCAATTTACAGGTAGCGAGAGAACTGTTCGGGGATGAATTCAGTGACTTCAAGTTTGTCTGTTTCACGCTCCAAGCTCAGAACTAGTGCTCACCTCTCACATTTGGTTTCTTCTGAGGGAAGAAACCAAAACCAAAACCTACACAAAAACAACTGCTACTTGTCACAACTTCCCAAGGGCTTTGTAATAATGCAATTTCAGGAACTGTACTCTTCCTTTGCTTAAACTCATTGGAGCCAACTGTAGCTCTGGGCTACCATCCGGTCCTTTCAAAGTATATGGATTCAGCATCCAACTTCGATGGCTGCGCTCCCAGTTACTAACTGAGGATTTGCACTGCTCTATACAAACGCCACCGCTAGCGCTTCCCGTTTGGTGGCGGTTCCTGGAGGGCAGTGTTTAGCTACCCTTCCAGCAGTTTCCTTGTCAGTGGACGTAAGGCCTGACGGGGGAAGGGCCTGTTCAGTAAACCACTTGAACTTTGAGAAGCACGTCCTGTTCCATTCACGTGTTTCCACTGTGAAGTACAACTGCTGAGCCGGTCAGTGAAACGTAGGAACACGTTTGCTTACTAGGAAGTCCAGAGGGTGGGCCTCTCAGAGTTTTAGAGCGAAGGGAGACTACAGGCGGAGTCTGAGCCAGCTCCCTGCTGCTTCCCTACCAACACCATAAAGCAACTAATTAGTGCTCTGATGGGCACATTTCCTCACCCACAATGAAGCGTTATGACATCCTGCGATGGTGTGTAAGCAGGCCTTCCTCCCCTGGGCAGGTGCGGTAACTAGGGAGAGAAGGGACTGTCCCTAGCCCAAGGTCTCAAAGGAGAGGCGCCAGACCTATGATTAGGGTACAAGTGTCCTTGCTGCCCTGGATTCGAACCAGCAGCCAAGCCTTCTGCCTCCCTTTACTATCCAGCTTAGAACCCAGCCACCCTCAAGGCCAGCATTACCTCCTCTGTACTCGGTGTTGTTTCTCCAGTCACTCAGGTCTATTTCGGCGGTGCCCGCGATGACCAGCTCTAGTTCCCTCGCATCGAACACAGAGACCAGTCTGGCATCCACCACCTATGGGACAGCAAGAATACAGGGCATGGCTCAGGCACCCGGAGGAAGCCCAGAGATCACTAAGCCTCGTCAGGAAAGGAGGGCACATGGAGTTTGGGGAATATGATGGATATACCCTGTAGGCGCTTTAAAAAAATGGCAAAGCTCTCGACACACATATAAGGTATTTTTAGTACAAGGTCGATGAGATGGCTCTCGGCAGAATTTCTGTTTTATGATTGAGCACTGATTAATCTAGTTGTTTTTCTTTTCTAAAAAAGATATAGTGCTGTCCACCCAGCATGACTCAGTGGTTGAGCGTCGACCTAAGAACCAGGAGGTCACAGTTCGATTCCCAGTCAGGCCACATGCCCGGGTTGTGGGCTCGGTCCCCAGTGGGGGGTATCCATGATTCTCTCACATCACTGATGTTTCCATCTCTCTTTCCCTCTCCCTTCCTCTCTGAAATCAATAAATATATATATTTTTTTTAAATAAAAAGATCCAGTGCTCCTACGGAAGAAGTCGCACGGATACTGGATCCTTGTAACGCCTGTGCAGACCCTCTGATTCAAGATTTCACATGTGGAGCATGAGATGTGACTGTCTGCATCCATCATGCGAGACGCATGACTTAAATGTTACCAGTGGCCTCTGAACTGTTTGAATTCAGGTCGTTTTATGTCAATGCTCTCTTGTCACAGGCGTGAAGCTTTCTGTGTGTGCTCTTGAAACACACAGGACAAAACACTGGACATTTTACATGGAAAGAGCAGCCATAAGTGGAGCACACAGGGGAAGCACAGTGGATGGACATGGGCCCGAGGACCACTGCCCCCGCCCCGCTGGCGCCGCACCTCGTAGAAGCCGCGCACCAAGCTCTCCGTCTGCTGCACCACGCCGCGCTCGATCCGCCACTTCACCATCCTCTCGATGTACTCCTTCTTGTTCTTCTCTGTGACCGGGATGTTGGCACCCCCGGGCTTCAGCTCGCGCTCCGTGATCTGGGGTCAACACAAGAGGGCTGACAATGAAGCAAGCCCTCGAGGGGGTGAGAACGCTGTCCCGCAAGCAGGTGCGAGGGGCGCCCGGGGCCCACGCTCACGCCTCGGCTCAGTAACACTGGGCATTGAGCGGGTGTCCAAGAGCCTCCGTGGTTAAAATGTATGTATTGCCAGTGGTGAAGGTTAAGTTTTAAAAATCCTGACTAAACAGATAAGCCTTTTAAATGACGATAAACTGGTTCCAGGTTCTGGGCCACTGCTAGTTGGATATTTGACAAAAACGCATTTTCTCAAATTCCTTTAGGGTTCTGAATCAACCACACATAGGAAGCCCATATTTAAGTAAAGACTGACATTAAGGAAACAGAATTACATTCAAGTGAATATTAAATTGAAAACTTCTTTTCCAAAACACGAAATTCAGAAAAGCAACCAAATATTAATGTCTAAATAAGATTATTATTTATGAACTATTATATAATTTCTGAAAGAAATATTTTACGCAAGCAACCCTTCCATACACTTTGTAAAAAAAAATCAACATTGGTTGGTCAATATTTTCAAACCTTCACTAAAATATTGTTTACTTTCCCTCAGCTTCGAATAATCCATTTCAGTCCTGAAATATGAATGAGAGTTAAATCCAAGTGCCAATTAAGTAATTCAACATTCAACTCTGGGGTAGCATGGACTTTTAAACATTGTGTTTAAGGCACATTCTAATGCCTTACATGGATATTTTAGTTGGAAATAAAAAGAAGATTGCTTACAACACACAATAGCTGTCACACTCTGTACACTAGAACACCTTCATCCGCAGTTGGATTAGAATCATCTTTGCCACCACGATGATTGTAACTGTACACAAACCTGGGTTTAAACCACCCAGCAAGACATAAGTAAATAAGCATCTGATCTTAGCCACTAAGTCATTCTTCACCAAACAGCCGCCTCCAGTCACCACACTGAGACACCAGCTGTGCACACCCACAGACCTGCCCGAAGACTTCTTCGTTCACAGTGAAGGTGAGGTCCAGGATGTCATGGATGTCATTGTCCTTCATCCACTGCAGGCTCTGGTGGAACTCTTCATCCAGGTACTCGAGGTCACTCAGGTCACACAGACTAGGATGACACACAGACGCGAATAAACACGTGGGCACAGCGAACAGCAAAGACCCAGAGTCACAAGGAAAGAAACGAAGAGTTAAAGACAAGAACAAGGTCAACACAATAGGCGCTGGTTTCTGAAATGTACTTATTAGTCAAAGGCAGTAGCCAAATCCGTGAAATCAGTTAGAAATTTGTTATACAATTTTAACATCCTGGATGTTTATAACACATCTTAGGAATCACCCAGTCTGACCTTTCAGAGACGGAGAGAGTTGGAGGTGCAATGAGTGACGGCCATCGGCACAGTCACCCACAACTCGTGCCCCAGAAGAGACTGGAACTCGGGCTGACAACTTGGGTCCAGTGCCCTTTGGCTATGTTACGCTGTCTTATACAGTGTTGTCCTAATTAGAAATTCTTCGTATGTTTCTATAATGCACTTGAGCTTTCCCCCCTAAAGACCAGATATGGTCCACGTTTACATACATCCCCTTTTTCTTCATGGTTCTCACTTTTTCCATGATTCTGAAAACAGCAAGCCCCAGAGTCTCTCTCTATATAATTATAAGGGTTTTCTATAGCTCTCTCCTCTTTTTTTCCTGCTGAGAGAGGATCTACAGGAGGTGGAGTAACTATTATGGAAATGGAAGGTGGTAACATTTGATTTGCTTCAGTTGTTTTGAAATTCCCTCCCGTCAGCCCAATTTCAAAGGTCAGGCTGTTTGGTTCAGTCTAAACATTTCGTAGGCTTCAGCTATGTTCCAGATCTCTTAATAGCTACTTGTTAAACACTAATTGACCTCCAGGAGATAATGGTCTAGCCGGGGAGACAGGCACACAAATTGATGAGTTAATATAAGGTGATTAGTGATAGCCCAGGGTGGGTAACACTTATAATTTGTGCAATGGTGTATAGGTATGTTACACTCCCATTAGAAAAAAAAAGAAGGTAAGGTAGCTACAGAGAGCTCTCACAGCAAACATGAAGGACATGTACTTCGACCTAGAGATTCAGGGAGAGCTTTCTGGTATAGATGATACCTGTGATAAATTTTGCAGGATGTTCAAAAGCTAGAGAGGTGAAGGGGATGGGTGAAGAGGAGAATTAGGGGGGAAGAAAAAGGAAAAAAGCAGAACAACATGAACAAATCATAAAGGCAAGGAGTATGCAGAATACTCCAGCATCCTGGCAGGACCAGAGAGTGACCCGCTAGACGGAATGTCCAGGGATTGAGGCTAGCAGCTGGGAGCGGGCCATTCTAAGGGACCTGGTGACTCAGAATGACTGAAAGGCTTTAGGGAATAACATGGTCAGCTGTGTGATGTGAGTTTCAATTGTTTCTCTGGAAATGGCAGTCCGGAGGATTACTTAGAACAAGGGGAGGTGCGGTTATTATAAAAGGGTGGGGATCAATTATACGTCACCATAGTCACCTGGGAAAAATAAGACAAGGGTTTTCATTAGGGCACAGTTATTGAGGATGGAAAAGAGAAGATGAATTTAAAAAGTATTTAGGAGACAAATGCGGAAATCAGTAAATGGGTTTGTTGGGGGGGGGCGGTATATAAAGAATGATATCTAAAATAGGGATAGCAAATAAACTCATGTTGCAAGTCAACTCTGATTCGTCTTGAGGGCTATCAGTCAAAAAATCCCCGAGGCCACAAGTTCAGCAGGAACAAGCAGCATAAAGGACCTGTGGACTATCTCCTGGGGATGGGGCGGGAGGTGGGGAAGTTGGGCACCTCCTACTTCCTGATGGAGGGTGACTGCGGATTTCCCACCAGAGCCACTTGAGACTGTTGAGACCATGAACTGTAACCGGGCACATGGGAAAGGGTACACTTTCAGGCCAGGGAAAAGTGAGGAGTCTCGTTTCAGCCATGCTGATTTCGAGGTGCCCAAGAGACATGCATGGGAGACATTCAGTGGCATGTTGACCACTTCAGCCTATAACTCAAGGCGATCAAAACCAAGAGTGCTGATTTGAGCATCAGAAGGAGAGGAAACTGGTGAAGAGGTTTCCCCATGAGAACACACACACACAGAGAAGGCCAAGAATGGAAGCTTCTGGAACACTGAGGTTTAAGGGAAAATCAGAGGAGAAGCCCACCAAGGAGACACAAAAGCGAAGGAGGACAGGGCCATGGATGCCATGAGGTCAGACTCAAGACACATGGGTGGGGGTTGCGATGGTCAACAGTACCAAAAGCAGCTGATGGCCCATTAAGATAAGGTCGAAACAATATTCTTTAAAAGCTTCGCTAGGTTACTGGCGGAAAGAAGCCAGGCACCGTGGGTGGAGGGTGTGCCAACGGTTGGTATAGACTGCTCTCACCGAAAGCCTAAATGAGAAGATGAGAGATAAAGCCATAAAATGGGAAGATACACCAGGAGCTGAGGGACCACGGAAGAAGGTGCCCAGTGCCAGCTGCCCAGGGCTTCATCTGCCCAGATACCCACAGGGAAGATGGCAGACGTCTTCCTACTGACCCTCTTACGAGCCCCCTGTGCACACCTTATTTTCATTTGAGGTCTAGGCTTCCGTTTACGGGGAATGAGCTACACAGAACCAACCATCTGTGCTGTCCTCTTGCAGGCGTGAGCCACTACCCCACAGACAGGCGCCTGCTCCTGCTCAGCCTTGTCAGTTCCTACTGACTACAGGGCAGAAACTGTCTGGCTTGACATTTGGCAATAACTGCAAACTTTTATTGCTCCTACTGACTACAGGGCAGAAACTGGCTTGACATTTGGCAATAACTGCAAACTTTTATTGTGACAACAATGAAGAAAAGTTCTGTGAATGCCAAAGTTTCCCCTGCCACCAGAAGGTACCGTTTTGCATGGAGGGAGATCGCAGGAAAAATACAGGACTGCCCAGCTATAACACACAAACAAAAATAGGACAAAAACAAAACAAAGGAGAATGGAAATGTGGACTAAGAGCAAGCAGTTAAAAGTGTGCATAAAGCAAAATATAAAGTGCATCATATAACAGATAGAGGACTATGAGTCACCCAGGCTAACCCACAACTATTCTATTAATAATCAGCATTACCACCACAGGAATTCCAGTGCTGCAGTTGAAGTACGACTGTTTCTCAGAAACATGTGTTGCAACAAATGAGGATCAATTCTTTGAAGGGCAGCAAAACTAAGACATTGGGGGCGAGACAGAAGGAAGGGATCCAAAGCAGGAAAAACGCAGTACTAACTATATTAGTTTCAGAAACCTCTCTTAAGTTTAGTAACAACAAATTGGAAGCCTTTCCAGTAAGGGAAACACTGCAGCCTTACACTAACTACAGGAGCAATGGAAACACGCTTACATTCTGAGGAGGGCCTTGTAAAAGGGCCGCGTGAAGAAGGCATCCAGCAAGTACTGGTGTATCAGCGCCAGGCCCAGGATCCTGCCGCTGAACCGGAACCTGCGGAGGAGACGCACACATGCGGTCACTTACACCTCACGGACCAGGTTCTGAATCGTTTCACTGCATTTTTACCATCTATGTTTGTGCAAGATCAACTGCCTCCCGGGCCGCGGGCGTGTGTGTGCCCTCTAGGCTGTGTCTTCCCGAGGCCAATAGTCACATCTACGAGTTGAAGGAAGGTGTCTCGCTCATATTTACAGACACTCTGCTCCCCCTGCCCCCGTGCCAACAGCGTCTACTATCTGCACCCGCATGGCCACCGGGAGTCCCCTGTGCGCACTCAGCGAAATTCCCCCAACCGCTTCCAAGTGACCGAGAGAATGAGGCCGGTGGTGGAGGAGGAAACGCTGTCTTCTCATCTGTTTGCACAAATATGAGCAGGATTTCTCTCATGCAAACCCAGCAGCAATCCCCCTTGGAGAAAACCCCAGTCTCAGAGCGAGAATGTGCCTCTCCCTGTGCTCTCTCAAGCCCCGCCCCGACCACGGTCACCGCCAAGAGCGATGCGTGTGGGCATTTGCGGGAGTTTCCTCCTGGCACATTCTGTTCCCTAAAACTTAAGGCTCACGTCCATTCTGAATCATTTTGGAAACTTTACTAAATATGTCTGTGATGACTGGGCTTGCTGACTTGAGATGGACCCTCGTTTTCTCTTCCAAAAGGACTCCGTTTCCAGCTCTTCGAAGGTCGGATGCCTTCCCAGAGCGTGAGCCCACCGGGCTCCCTCCTGCCCGTGGAACAGGAGGTTCCCAGCCATCCGGGGACAGATGTCCAGCAGCTTTGTTTGTCCTTCTTTCCGCTGGTGTTAGCACAACTGCAACGGCTTCAGTTGGGAGGACTCCAAATTGGAGCCAAACGGAAGTTCATTTGAAACATAAGTCCTAAAAGTGATGCCCTCCACCCACCAAGACTAACCTCATGACTCAATTTTTTTCATGAGTCCTACTCGTGGGTTTTTTGTTGTTTGTGTGTGTGTGTGTGTTTTTCTGTGTGTGTTTGTGTGTGTGTGTGTGTTTTTTGGTCATTATCAGTGAAAATGAGCGGAAACAAGTAAACTGCGTTATAAAACTAAAGTCTGTACATGCAGGAATTTTTTTAAAAACGTAAGGACGTTTAGTCAGAGCACAATCGGGGATTTTCAGAATAAATAATGCCCAGACGGGGCTCCTGTACCACTTGTCCTTGGTGACTGTGTGTGAGAAATTAGAAAAAGGGGCAAACCCAGGCCACAGACTTCAGGTGGCTAATCGGGTCCGAGTGGCCGCTGCTGTGAGTCCACAGCCTGCCCTTCTGCCTTCAGTCGCTCCAGCCCCTCTCCCTCCCCATGTTAGCCGCTGCCCAAGGGCAGCTCTAGAAGCCACCTGACCTCGGGGGCAGGACTTTGCCCCACTCACCCTCACCCCCCAGAGCTCAGGGAGCAGAGAGGGGCCTGGGGATCTCGCCGGGAACCTAACATCATCCATAACTTTCATCGGATGGGAGAAACCCTTTGGATTCTACCCAGCTCACTTAAAATTGGTCCAAAGGAACACAATCTATTCCTGCTTGAGACTGACAAGAAAAATCAGAGTCAAATGAGATGTTTAATTGAAAATACGGCCCTACTCGGTTCGGGTTTGATTCCAATTCCGGTCAAGGGCACAGACCTCGGTTGCAGGCTCAATCCCTGGCCCTGGTCAGGGTGTGCACGGGAGGCGACCAATCGATGTGTCTCTCTCACATCAACCTTTCTCTCTCTCCGTTTCTCCTCCTCCCTCCCCCTCTCTCTAAAAAAATCACACACACACACAATGCATGAAATCTCCTCCAGTGAGGATTAACAAAAAATAAGTAAGAGCCACACCAGCCAGGGCAATAAGAAAACATGATTTTCTCGGAGGAAAAAGGTGTTAGAGTCGAGGATTCCTACAAAAATGGATATCACAGAAATCAACAGAAGAAAGGTGTTGAGGACACATTTACTTACCATTCATGGTGATTGTCCACAAAAGCGGACATGGGACTTATCTGCACTGTGTATGTGTCATTGGCCGAATATTCGAATAAGCCGTAATATGGGTTGAAGAGTTCTCTGGACACCAGGAAGAAGAACTCTCTGGAAGGTCCACTGTAATCCAGCCTTTAAAGAAATCCACAAAAAGAACAACCAGTTGTATATTTTTTCCTATACATCAGACGCCTTTTCTATGGAGCTCAGCTTTCCACAGAACATGCATCGCAAGTCTAACCACCCGCATTCCAGGACTGTCCAAAACCAACAGGACCATCCGATTTCCTGAGCGCATCCATGTCTTGGCCCAGGACAGCGAAATGCACATTTTATGGGGAGCACATCCAAGACGAAAGCCACACATCAGATAAGGGATGCAGCAGGCAGTACGTACTCTGATGTTGTAAACAGATATGAAGAGGTAAATATTTTCAGTGTTTGGGGCCAGGTTATAAGGAAAGGGAGAACAGTGGGAATGCTCTCTTGAAAGAGGGCAAAACCAGAGGCCTGAGCTGCCTACCTCCACCAACACGGAGTCCTTCCTCCCTCGGGGACTTCTAAACACTTTTAAATGGGGGAGAAGGAGACTTGAGTGCATAGGGTGAGAGGCTATTACAGATGAAAGACCCCCTAGGAAGATCAGAGGCAAAAGAAAATGGAATGATAGAGTTCCAGTGAAAACTTTAAATTACAAAACACCAAGGAAGATAACAGAGAAGAAAAATGAGGGTGTCAGAAGCTTCATCATGGAAGAATTTGGAGAAGAGGCTGAAACTCTAGCACCCGACCTACCGTGTAAATCCCACCTCAGTCACAAGGACATCAAGGACAAAGCGAAGCAGGAAAGATGACTATGTTAGGTTTGAGGAATGACAAGTGGCCAACAATGCTGAGAACAAGACATGCTGTCCAGAGGCGTTTGCAACAAGCAACTGGACTCGTTAAATTTAAAGCAAAAAGTATAAAGGACGCCTACCCCATGATAAATGCTTACACCTGGGCTCAGGGACAGGAAGGGACGGGAAGGGAATGGAAGCAGTGGGTAAGCTGGGGTGGTGGGATTTTTATAAGACTTCATTGGCTCACTCTGCTTTTTGCCTCTTATGGAATTTCCTCCACGGGCCCTACTGCATTTTTTTTAAAGGAAGTCATCTGAGTCTTGTCCAGTGATGGAATTGTGTGATAGAGAAAAGAATCCTGGTATAGGTGGCAGATGGAGCTGGGAGACGAGTAAGAAACATAACATGATTTTTATTCAGAGTTGAGAGTTTCAGAGAATTTACTTGGAACAGACGTCAGCTAGTCACAAACTGCGTTCTCAATGTTTGCCCTAGCTGAATATAGGCGTATGCTGTTTCCTTCATATTTCTCATGCAGTCAACTTTAAATCCACTGGCTTTTTCAGTGCAGCCTTGTCTTACACAATGTCTCTGAAATTATGATGTGCTAGCTTTATTTTTCCTGATACCCATCAAAAGAAATACGTAGACATTAAAATAAAAAATGTCAGTCTGCGTAACAGCTAAGGCCTTCTCACACAGCCCCTGTGCACGCTGCACTGTGGGCGACAGAGTGTGGGCGGCCAGGAAGCCTATGTGTGCAGGAAATGCAAGCCTAGCGGCCTCTCAGGCCTAAAGGTGACATACTGAAACCGCCTCGGGGGAGATCGAGTCCATATTCCTGCCTACTGGACCCCAGTGGATGCAATTGGAGGGGCCCCCAGTTTTGGGGGGGGGGCTCTGCTCAGAGTGTAGGGGCCTCCCGGGTGCAGGGCGCAGACCACACCTCCCGGGTGCTGAGCTGGGCAGCCCCGTGGCTTCCTCCCTCCGTCCTAATTTGATCTCTGATGCCACCACCACCAAGCAGAATACTTCTTCCACTTGAGTGTTCTTCACATACTTAGAGGCTCTCTCCTGGCAAACATCTGAGAGCCGGTTATGCTCCGGGTGCTAATCTGGATGCTGACGATAGACACTTTTTTTGGAAAAGTCATTTTCTGTAAGAACTCTTATGTGCAGCAGTTTTCATATCCCTGGTCTCTCTCCCTCCCCACTCACCAACAGGCCTCTTCTCCCACCCCCTCAAGGAGGGGCTGGGAATTCCCTCTGCTGGGATCGGCTCCAGGCCCAAGTCTGACCTACAAGGCGGGGTCTAAGACTGGAGGTGCGGTCTCCTCCCCTGGGGCTCGGACAGGGCTTTGCCCTCCTTTCTGCACACTCTTCCCCGTGAGTGCAGCTGAGAAGTGCCCGCCCGTGGGGCAGCCCCCTTGCTGACTCACAGCGAGCTGAGTCATCGGCTCATACCTTTCTCCTGGGCGGCTGCAGCCCCGGGCGCTCCCGTCCTGTCTGCATGTCACCGAATCTGTTCAGAACCCAAGTGCTGGACGCTATGCTTTTTCCTACTACATTTCACTTTCTGCGACGGAGTCCATGATTCCGGTCTACCCAGATCCCGGTGGATGCAAACCTTCTCTCTAAATGTCCTACCGGTGGTGAGCTTCATCAGGTCCTGTGTCTTTCCAGAAACAGAAAATGCCAGTGGTCCCCGGCACCTTAGACGCCATTCTGTCCATATCCTCGTTTTACTGAGATGACTGGGACTGAAGGAAATCACTGATTGGCATCAAATGAAAGCGCGGTGGAGGGTCCGGGCCTTGACGCTGGCTTCCTGACCACCCCCGCCTCCCGCCCCTGCCCCCATCACTCCTCACAGCCTACCCTCAGGACATTGTAAATGTCCAAGACTAACAAGAAAAAGTCACTTTTAGACCAGGGTTGGTCAACTATGGCCTGGGGGCCAAATCTGGCCCGTCTCCCAGCTTTGTAAATAAAGTTTTATTGGCACACAGCCATGCCCATGTATGTGCTGTCTGTCTGTGGCTGCTTTTCGTGGGTTTTTTGTTGTTTGTGTGTGTGTGTGTGTGTGTTTTTCTGTGTGTGTTTGTGTGTGTGTGTGTTTTTTTTGGTCATTATCAGTGAAAATGAGCGGAAACAAGTAAACTGCGTTATAAAACTAAAGTCTGTACATGCAGGAATTTTTTTAAAAACGTAAGGACGTTTAGTCAGAGCACAATCGGGGATTTTCAGAATAAATAATGCCCAGACGGGGCTCCTGTACCACTTGTCCTTGGTGACTGTGTGTGAGAAATTAGAAAAAGGGGCAAACCCAGGCCACAGACTTCAGGTGGCTAATCGGGTCCGAGTGGCCGCTGCTGTGAGTCCACAGCCTGCCCTTCTGCCTTCAGTCGCTCCAGCCCCTCTCCCTCCCCATGTTAGCCGCTGCCCAAGGGCAGCTCTAGAAGCCACCTGACCTCGGGGGCAGGACTTTGCCCCACTCACCCTCACCCCCCAGAGCTCAGGGAGCAGAGAGGGGCCTGGGGATCTCGCCGGGAACCTAACATCATCCATAACTTTCATCGGATGGGAGAAACCCTTTGGATTCTACCCAGCTCACTTAAAATTGGTCCAAAGGAACACAATCTATTCCTGCTTGAGACTGACAAGAAAAATCAGAGTCAAATGAGATGTTTAATTGAAAATACGGCCCTACTCGGTTCGGGTTTGATTCCAATTCCGGTCAAGGGCACAGACCTCGGTTGCAGGCTCAATCCCTGGCCCTGGTCAGGGTGTGCACGGGAGGCGACCAATCGATGTGTCTCTCTCACATCAACCTTTCTCTCTCTCCGTTTCTCCTCCTCCCTCCCCCTCTCTCTAAAAAAATCACACACACACACAATGCATGAAATCTCCTCCAGTGAGGATTAACAAAAAATAAGTAAGAGCCACACCAGCCAGGGCAATAAGAAAACATGATTTTCTCGGAGGAAAAAGGTGTTAGAGTCGAGGATTCCTACAAAAATGGATATCACAGAAATCAACAGAAGAAAGGTGTTGAGGACACATTTACTTACCATTCATGGTGATTGTCCACAAAAGCGGACATGGGACTTATCTGCACTGTGTATGTGTCATTGGCCGAATATTCGAATAAGCCGTAATATGGGTTGAAGAGTTCTCTGGACACCAGGAAGAAGAACTCTCTGGAAGGTCCACTGTAATCCAGCCTTTAAAGAAATCCACAAAAAGAACAACCAGTTGTATATTTTTTCCTATACATCAGACGCCTTTTCTATGGAGCTCAGCTTTCCACAGAACATGCATCGCAAGTCTAACCACCCGCATTCCAGGACTGTCCAAAACCAACAGGACCATCCGATTTCCTGAGCGCATCCATGTCTTGGCCCAGGACAGCGAAATGCACATTTTATGGGGAGCACATCCAAGACGAAAGCCACACATCAGATAAGGGATGCAGCAGGCAGTACGTACTCTGATGGTGTAAACAGATATGAAGAGGTAAATATTTTCAGTGTTTGGGGCCAGGTTATAAGGAAAGGGAGAACAGTGGGAATGCTCTCTTGAAAGAGGGCAAAACCAGAGGCCTGAGCTGCCTACCTCCACCAACACGGAGTCCTTCCTCCCTCGGGGACTTCTAAACACTTTTAAATGGGGGAGAAGGAGACTTGAGTGCATAGGGTGAGAGGCTATTACAGATGAAAGACCCCCTAGGAAGATCAGAGGCAAAAGAAAATGGAATGATAGAGTTCCAGTGAAAACTTTAAATTACAAAACACCAAGGAAGATAACAGAGAAGAAAAATGAGGGTGTCAGAAGCTTCATCATGGAAGAATTTGGAGAAGAGGCTGAAACTCTAGCACCCGACCTACCGTGTAAATCCCACCTCAGTCACAAGGACATCAAGGACAAAGCGAAGCAGGAAAGATGACTATGTTAGGTTTGAGGAATGACAAGTGGCCAACAATGCTGAGAACAAGACATGCTGTCCAGAGGCGTTTGCAACAAGCAACTGGACTCGTTAAATTTAAAGCAAAAAGTATAAAGGACGCCTACCCCATGATAAATGCTTACACCTGGGCTCAGGGACAGGAAGGGACGGGAAGGGAATGGAAGCAGTGGGTAAGCTGGGGTGGTGGGATTTTTATAAGACTTCATTGGCTCACTCTGCTTTTTGCCTCTTATGGAATTTCCTCCACGGGCCCTACTGCATTTTTTTTAAAGGAAGTCATCTGAGTCTTGTCCAGTGATGGAATTGTGTGATAGAGAAAAGAATCCTGGTATAGGTGGCAGATGGAGCTGGGAGACGAGTAAGAAACATAACATGATTTTTATTCAGAGTTGAGAGTTTCAGAGAATTTACTTGGAACAGACGTCAGCTAGTCACAAACTGCGTTCTCAATGTTTGCCCTAGCTGAATATAGGCGTATGCTGTTTCCTTCATATTTCTCATGCAGTCAACTTTAAATCCACTGGCTTTTTCAGTGCAGCCTTGTCTTACACAATGTCTCTGAAATTATGATGTGCTAGCTTTATTTTTCCTGATACCCATCAAAAGAAATACGTAGACATTAAAATAAAAAATGTCAGTCTGCGTAACAGCTAAGGCCTTCTCACACAGCCCCTGTGCACGCTGCACTGTGGGCGACAGAGTGTGGGCGGCCAGGAAGCCTATGTGTGCAGGAAATGCAAGCCTAGCGGCCTCTCAGGCCTAAAGGTGACATACTGAAACCGCCTCGGGGGAGATCGAGTCCATATTCCTGCCTACTGGACCCCAGTGGATGCAATTGGAGGGGCCCCCAGTTTTGGGGGGGGGGCTCTGCTCAGAGTGTAGGGGCCTCCCGGGTGCAGGGCGCAGACCACACCTCCCGGGTGCTGAGCTGGGCAGCCCCGTGGCTTCCTCCCTCCGTCCTAATTTGATCTCTGATGCCACCACCACCAAGCAGAATACTTCTTCCACTTGAGTGTTCTTCACATACTTAGAGGCTCTCTCCTGGCAAACATCTGAGAGCCTGTTATGCTCCGGGTGCTAATCTGGATGCTGACGATAGACACTTTTTTTGGAAAAGTCATTTTCTGTAAGAACTCTTATGTGCAGCAGTTTTCATATCCCTGGTCTCTCTCCCTCCCCACTCACCAACAGGCCTCTTCTCCCACCCCCTCAAGGAGGGGCTGGGAATTCCCTCTGCTGGGATCGGCTCCAGGCCCAAGTCTGACCTACAAGGCGGGGTCTAAGACTGGAGGTGCGGTCTCCTCCCCTGGGGCTCGGACAGGGCTTTGCCCTCCTTTCTGCACACTCTTCCCCGTGAGTGCAGCTGAGAAGTGCCCGCCCGTGGGGCAGCCCCCTTGCTGACTCACAGCGAGCTGAGTCATCGGCTCATACCTTTCTCCTGGGCGGCTGCAGCCCCGGGCGCTCCCGTCCTGTCTGCATGTCACCGAATCTGTTCAGAACCCAAGTGCTGGACGCTATGCTTTTTCCTACTACATTTCACTTTCTGAGACGGAGTCCATGATTCCGGTCTACCCAGATCCCGGTGGATGCAAACCTTCTCTCTAAATGTCCTACCGGTGGTGAGCTTCATCAGGTCCTGTGTCTTTCCAGAAACAGAAAATGCCAGTGGTCCCCGGCACCTTAGACGCCATTCTGTCCATATCCTCGTTTTACTGAGATGACTGGGACTGAAGGAAATCACTGATTGGCATCAAATGAAAGCGCGGTGGAGGGTCCGGGCCTTGACGCTGGCTTCCTGACCACCCCCGCCTCCCGCCCCTGCCCCCATCACTCCTCACAGCCTACCCTCAGGACATTGTAAATGTCCAAGACTAACAAGAAAAAGTCACTTTTAGACCAGGGTTGGTCAACTATGGCCTGGGGGCCAAATCTGGCCCGTCTCCCAGCTTTGTAAATAAAGTTTTATTGGCACACAGCCATGCCCATGTATGTGCTGTCTGTCTGTGGCTGCTTTTCTGCTAAGAAGGCAGAGTTGAGTGTGTGGGATGGAGAATCCAGGGCCCTGCAAAGACTAAAATATTTACTATCAAGCCCTTCTCAGTACAAGTTTGCCAACCCCTGTTACAGGAGAAAGTGGGAGGAACGTGCTACTTCATTAAAACACCTGGCTTACTATAGATCCCCTTCTTGAGTGAAGGTTCCTTCAAGGAAATGGGAAATGACTACCACATTCTAGGGCAGTGATGGCGAACCTTTTGAGCTCGGCGTGTCAGCATTTTGAAAAACCCTAACTTAACTCTGGTGCCGTGTCACATAGAGAAATTTTTTGATATTTGCAACCATAGTAAAACAAAGATTTATATTTTTGATATTTATTTTATATAGTTAAATGCCATTTAACAAAGAAAAATCAACCAAAAAAATGAGTTCACGTGTCACCTCTGACATGCGTGTCATAGGTTCGCCATCACTGGTCTAGGGTGTATGCAACCTCAAGGCATAGCCACAACTAAGCGTGAGGCCCCGAGTGAGTGGTCCGAGCTTCGCGGGGGCTCTCAGACACAATCCCGGCCCTGATCCTAAGGGTCATGGGCAGCTGAAACACAAGCCACATACTTTGAGTCACTGTTCGTACAAAGAGACAACTGGTCAAAGTAAAATGGCTTTTTAGCTGCTTAAAATTCAGCTGTGGCCTTCCGCTGGAAATAGCAGGCCTTTTTGAGGTTGGCCTCTCAGTGTCTAGCGACACCGCACTCACGGTGGATTATAATGAGCGGCTTGTGCGTCTACCTCCTCTGTGCACACATCGACATTACTGAAGGCAGGGACTATGTCGTTCTCATTTTTGTATCCCGTAGGGGCTCCATATATGTTGTTGAACCAACGCGTGGAGCTCTCTACAGAAATCAACCTCCTTTACCTGGTGAGTTGGCACCTGGCAGAGTGAGTAACTTGGCACAGGTTTGCCTTCAGGTGGAATGTTGACTCAATGACATGAACAGGCTGTGCCCATCCCTAACTCCATTCACAAATACTGTCATAAATCACTCAAGGGAATGAGCCTTAGAGAGCTTGGCGTTGGTCTAGTCCTTTCCAGGTGTCATAGCATCTACTACGGTCCAGTTTGTCAGGACAACAAAGAGGGACCTCATTGAAGGGCTCCTTTCTGATGACAACAGCTGGATCTGGCTGACCATCACATAAAATATTTCCTGAAAAGTTAAGCCAAAAAATAAAAACATTCCCCCCACCCCGCCCCGCCCCACCCCCAAGAGAGAACACAGCTACCAGTTCTCCAGGAGGAAAATGTATCGCCCTGAGCTGGTCAGGCTCTTCTCCACTGCTTTGAACTCCAGGAGCCCGGATGGAGTCCAACCAGGGCCAGCACAGTTTTTACAGTTTGAGTTGATTATAACCCCAAACTCCAGGACTGCACACCGGGGAGCCGGTTGTAGCTGCACATGACAGGCCGACCTAATCCAAAGAGACATGTCCCAGCAGGCACCTGTGCCCGTGCTTCCTGGCTTCTTAGCAACCTCCTCCATGTAAATAGCTCATCTGACTCATGTCCCAGGGATCCTCTGCCACATTCCTGTTCTGCCAGTTCGGTCGGTTCTGCAGCGACAGGCTTGGCACGGAAATGCAGAAACTCCGACAGCGGGTGTGGGGCCACCAGCAGCTGCCTGCCAGGGCATTTCGGAATCAGCACAGATGTCTTCAGGGGGGCGGTGCGGTTTTGAGCCCCGAGAAGTGCTGATAAAGCATTTTATTTATTTATTTATTTATTTATTTACGTTTTGAAAAAGCATTTAAACACCATCACGCTGCCGGGCTGACATGGCCCAACTTGTTAGTGGCCTCCAATATCTGTTAAGAATAATTTATTTGCCCTAACCGGTTTGGCTCAGTGGGTAGAGCATCGGCCTGCGGACTCAAGGGTCCCAGGTTCAATTCTGGTCAAGGGCATGTGCCTTGGTTGTGGGCACATCCCCAGTGGGGAGTGTGCAAGAGGCAGCCGATGGATGTTTCTCTCTCATCGATATTTCTGACTCTCTATCCCTCTCCCTTCCTCTCTGTAAAAAATCAATAAAAATATATTTTTAAAAAGAACAATTTATTTCATTCTCCTGTCCTTGACGTGCAACTAAACATCACCGAAAGCAAAGTATTCCAAGGGAAGTAGACTATACAATGAGAGAAGACAATGGAATGGGAAGTCCCATCACCGTGTCCCCCAGACTTTTCAGGAAGACAGAG